GGAAGTGACCTATGGCTGCAGCTAGGTTCTTGAATTGCCTCTAAATCCATCCCCACTAGGACATTGTTTTCTGCTGGAATTTTACTTAACTTCCAAAAATAACTGTCTGGGGCAACGTACTTTCTGAGGCAGCCATGTAGCTATGTAGATTCTCAGACCATCTCCTGCTCCATGCAGGTGTTATTTCCCTCATCTTGTGAGAGTCAGCAGCTCTAGGGTGTAATGGAGCCTCCCTTGTGGCTCTGGGTCTGAAGTTTTGTACTTGAAACTCTGCCTGGCCCCTCCCTGGATGGGATGTGACCTGGGTCAGACTGCCTGTCTGGAGGCTCACATCAGCTGCACATTCATGCCGTGCGCGTCTCTACATGTGTACACACACCACACAAACCCAGAATTTGGCTGAAGCCTCCTGTAAAAGAGGCTGACTTCTGAGCAGAGACAGTGCAGCAGCACTTGATCCAAGCTCTGCAGTCTTCTGTCCGGTCGTTCCCTGCGCTCCCTAGAGTTTCAGCAGAGAAGGAAGTGATGCCTTGCTGACTTTCTATGGGTCACTTAACTTTGAAGGCCAGCTTGAAGCTGCTTACTCTGGAGTTGTGGACTCTTCCATGGGCAAGTCATAAACTGGTAAACTCAGGACATTAGTAACAGCCTTTGGACAGCCTCCCAGCAGGCATACATGTGGGAGCAGGAAGCCAGGTGAGTGTGGCTGGAGAGGCATTATGTTTCTACAGGGTGCTCTACTAAACCTGATCTGTTCTTTTCCAGGCCCCAGCTAAACTAGGCTACCTAGATACCCGCCAATATTTGAGTTGGTTTTACCTTCATTGGGGTTTTCTTCCTTTTGAATCCTTTTTTTTTTTAATTAAAAAAAAAAATTCCCCCCTTTAGTTTTATCTGTATAGATGGTTTGACTGCAGGTATGTCTGTGCACCTCATGTATGCAGTGCCAGCAGAGGCCAGCAGAGGCCAGCAGAGGGTGTTAAGTCCTCTGGGACTGGAGGTACAGATGGTTATGACTTGCCATATGGATACTGGGAATCAAACCTGAGCCCTCTAGAAGAGCAGCCAGTGCTCTTAACAGCTGAGCCATCTCTCCAGCCTCTTTTTGGATCCTTTAATAATAGTTAGGATCAGGGCTGGGATATACGTAAAAGACAAAACACTTGTCTAGCATGCAAAGGTCCTAGGTTCAATCCCCAACACTGCCACATATCCACAAAAAAGTGGCAGAAGTATTTAAATTTTATCTGCTGGTTGTTTATTGTTAAAGATCAAAATTGTGAGACCTGGGGGAAAAATATTGTATAGGGCATGGGAGAGACAGAGAGTTCACCCAGTAAAACCAAACACTGTTCTTATAGAAGAACCAAAGTTTGGTTCCCGGCACCTACATCAGGCAGCCACAAATGTCTAACTCCAGCTCCAGGAAATCTAATGCCTTCCTCTGGCTTCTGTGGGCATAGTAAACTTAACTGTTCCCTTCCATATACACACAATGAAACAAAACTACTATATAAACACTCTCGAATGGGTATTGACTCTATGAGAGAAGATGTACCTAACAGCTCCAGAGACTTGAGGCCTCAGGGAGTGGGGAGATCTGGTGGGGTAGGGGTTGGGGGAGCATCCTCTTGAGGGGAGGGGAGGAGGTATGAAATGTGGAACAATCAGAGGGTGGACTGGGAGGGGGATAAAGACTGGACTGTAAAAAAAGATTAAAGAATAAAAGAAAGAAACAAACAAAAAACCCTCAAATGGCATAATACTAGTTAGCTAGTTAGTTAGTTAATTAGTTTGTTTTCTAAGACAGGGTCTCACTATGTAACTCTGGCTTTTCTGAAATTCACTATGTAGACCAGGCTGACTTCAGACTGGGATTAAAGATGTGCTCTACTACATCTAGCTAAATGGCATATTTAAATAACTAATTAATTAAAATAATTCTAACATTTTTGAGCCTACAGGAGTTCACTTTGGCTGAACTGCTATTTGACGTTTGGATCTTTCTTTCTTTCTTTCTTTCTTTCTTTCTTTCTTTCTTTCTTTCTTTCTTTCTTTCTTTCTTTTTGGCTTTTCGAGTCAGGGTTTCTCTGTGTAGCCCTGGCTGTCTTGGAACTCACGCTGTAGACCAGGCTGGCCTCAAACTCAGAAATCCACCTGCCTCTGCCTCCCAAGTGCTGGGATTAAAGGCATGTGCCACCACTGCCCAACTCACCACCACTGCCTGGCTGACGTTTGGGATTTAACACTTTTCTTATCAGTGACTTTTGGTAGTCACTGTGTGACTATCAACAGATACAAGGCAGAAATTCATTGTGGAAGTAAAAGAATACATATTTTTTGGTGTGACAAAGGTTATAGCTACCCTCTTTTGGTAGGGCTTTTTTTTCTTTTGGGACAAGGATCTCTTATGTAGCCTAGGCTGATCTTGAATTTATAATCCTGCCCCAGTCTCCCAAATGCTAAGATTATACTGGTTTGTTTGTTTGAATTTTGAGATAAGGCTTCATTATTTAGTTCTGACCTGTTTGGCCTGGAACTCATAGCCATCTTCCTGACTCAGCCTCTTAATTCCTGGATTACTGGAGACGGTCAAAAGCCCAGACTGGAAACTGGGCGTTTTATGTAACTTAATTTCAAGACCATTTTTCCCCCGGGATCCCATTTTTACTATAAACATGCACACAACAATAGCACTCCCAAGTTTGTGGTAACTATTAAACAAAGCATATGGTTCCATTAAGAAACATTTGGGAAAAGGGATGGATGGATGGATGGACAAGCACTAGTCTGAGCTGCCTAAGACCAGCTTCTGATCCACACTGCTGGTACTTGGCCCTGCCTACCCATATCATCTGGGCCCAGACCTCCTCATTTAGCCTGGGACTCAGTCATGGTGAAATATTGGCTACAACACCTTCTGGCTGCCCGGGACTCAAGTAAGCCACAGGGGTGTGTGTGTGTGTGTTTACCCAGGGTAAGTTGACATTATGCCATGGTTGTGTCTGATGTGACCAGGTATGCCATGGGTATACTTAAGGTATACCTCAGGTATGCTATATAGGTGCTAAGGAGAACTATAGGTGTGCTTAGATGAACTGAATGTATGCTATGATTATCTTGAGTGTATCTCAGAGCATGTCAGAGGCATGCTATGAATGACTGTGTGGTAAGCTGCAGGTGTGACAAGGTGTACCCTAGAGTGAATATCAGGTGCGTCACAGCTATACCTGGTTTTTAAAAAAAAATCCCATCAAAGACAAGGGACTGAAATTTAGCTCAAAGTTCCAGAAAGGCAGGTATTTGAGGATTGAAGAAGAAAAGCAGCTGACCTTAACTTCAGACACCAGAATCCAGAAGAACAGCAGATGATTCCTATCCCAGACACCCCACGGGTGCAAAAACAGACAAAAGACCCTGAAATTTCAAAACCAGTTTCTCTAAGGAAAACAGCTAACATATCTAAAATGCACTTAACAAGCACCCTTTCCCTACCCTTAGCTACAAAAACCTCAGCCTAAAGCTTATAGTTTATTGTCTTGAACAAACTGTGGCCATTGAGTGACTGGATCTTGTGCCCTGATCATCATATGGCTGGAATTTAATAGCCACATTTCTGCCACAAGTCTGCTTTAGCTGTTTGAGGTCAACTAAATCGCTGTTTTCCTCTACAAACTTAATTTAATTCTTACTTATCCTTACATCTTGGGTGAGCAACAGGGGTACACGAGTGTATTATGGATATGCCTGGGGTGAGATGAATATATGTTATGGTTGTCCTGGGTATTCTCATTGTGTTAGTCTGGTGTGCCAAGGGTGTGTTAAGGGCGTACTCGGGGTGAGCAGCGGGTATGCCATGAGTGTTCTCAGGATGAGCCATAGGTATGCCATGCATGTCAGCTTTAGTGAAATATGGTTGTGTAGTCCGTATGCCACAATAGTGTACTCTGAGTAATCCACAGGTGGACTCCGGGTCACAGAAGGTGTGATATGGTTGTATACGGGGGAATGGGGGAATGGGGATCGCCCAGTGTGTGGCTCAGGTATGTCATTGGAATACAGAGACAAGCTTCGGGACAGCCGCCGGAATACCCGAAGTGCACCCACGCCCAACCGGAAGACATCATCCCCCCTCCCGCTCTCAAACTCCGGAGCAGAAATCTGGACTAGTGGGCTTAAGCCAGCCACCAGGTTCCGGAATAACAAGGTGACAATCAGAGGAGTTGCGGAGCCAGCCCAAACAGCCTCTCATCGTGCCAGCATGACCGCACTGTCCAGGCGATCGCACAGCCCCGCCCGCCTCACCTGGCCGCACGGCCGCCATTTTGCCGCTGGGTCCGCCACAATCCCAGCAGCCTCTTGGCCGCACCCTCCCGCCATCTTCGCTCCTCCTGCCGCGCGCCGCAGCGAGCGTCCGACCGCGGCCGAGGCCCGAGTCTCCCGTCCGGCAACACTCGGGAGCTTTCGGATAGAAGGAGGCGGGCACTGAGGCTCCGGAGAACTCTGCTCGGAGGCATTCGGCGGAGTTCGGCTAGGCCTCGTGTGGGTTCGGCTTCGGCCGCCGCCAGAGGGGGTTGGAAAAATTCAGTGGTGCCAGAGTCTGTCTGCGAACCCAGACTTCGTTGGAAGCCGGTGAGAAACTACCCAAAGCCGACCAGCTTATCGGTCAGTGACCACAGTCAGATCAGCTTCTTAGACAGCGAGGAAGAAACGCTCGTAAGTTTTCGTGAAGCTTCGGGACCATTCGTACTAACTCGATTCTGCACTTCGGGAAACTTCGGAGCTCCTCGGTTCTACACTCGGGACATCGGCTCGGCTCTGCGGGCAGCTTCGGCTTGGTTCGGCGGGCGTCAGAGTGCCTCTTCGGTCGCTGCTCGGGCGGTGGCTTCGGGCGGCCTCGGCCCAACTCGGGCGGCCTCTTCGGGCCCCGCTTCGGGCTCGGTGCCTGGCGCTTCGGGCGGTCCCGGACAGCGCCTTCGGGCGGACTCGGCGGAGTCCGTATGGAGGACTCGGACTCGGCGGCAAAACAGCTGGGCCTGGCCGAGGCAGCAGCGGTGGCGGCCGCTGCCGCTGTGGCGGCGGCCGCCGCGGCCGCAGCGGAAAGCGAGGCGGAGGAGCCGGTGTTAAGCAGAGACGAGGACTCGGAGGAGGACGCAGACTCCGAGGCGGAGCGCGAGACGCGGCGGGTCACGGCTGTGGCGGTGATGGCGGCCGAATCTGGGCACATGGATATGGGTACCGAGGCTCTGCCCAGCCCCGATGAGGCCGCCGCCGCCGCCGCCTTCGCAGGCAAGTGCGCCCGCCGGCCTCGCGCCTCACCGGGTTTCCGCGTACAAGCCCACACATGCACCACGCACAGGCCGTTCCCATATGCTTTATGCATCTGTCATGCACATCTGTCTCACTGGAAAGGCTCTCTTCCACCTGTCCTGCACAACTGCTCAGCACCTGCCCTGCCAGTGCACCGCACAGTGACCTGCACACCTGCCCTGCCCCTGTCCGTGCACCATATACCTGCCCCTGCACCTGACACATGCTCTGCACCACCTGTGCACTTCACACCTGCCTGTGCACGTCACAATGCCCTGAACACCTACTCTGCACCTGCCCATGCACTGCACAATGCCTTGCATACTTGCTCTGCCCCTGCCCTCCGTCTCACTCTCTCTCTCTTTCTCTGTCTCTTTGTCTGTCTCTTTCTATCCCTCTCCCTCTCTCTTACACACACACCCCACACCACTCTCACTCCACTAGCTTGGCTCTGCACTGTATACAGACAGACTTGTTTCCCTTGTGTGAGTGTGCCTCTCTGCTCTTTTGTCTTTTTTTTACCTTTTGGAACTTTCTCAATACCTACTACCTGCCTTGTCCTCCCCTGCTGCTTCCTGGGAGCTGATAGCACAGAGGGGTCAGAAGTGAATTCTGTTCTGGAGGTGCTCCAGGTATGGTCAGCAGCATTACTGCTGGTAGACCTGTCTGTTTCAAAGGCCAGTTCAAGTGTGACCTGAGAGGGGCAGGAGAGTCTTCCAAGTCAGGCAACCTTTCAAAGGTAACGATGCAGAAAACAGCCTTGCTTTGTGTAGCGTCTCTGTGCTGCATCTTCTAAGTCTTTTCCTACGCAGATATTCCCTCCTCCTCCATCACTTAGCTTTCCATTTTGTTCCTTCTGTTTTTTCACACATAGAGCACTCTGATTCTCATGTTTTATGACAAATGGAGCCTTGAGCTGAACTATATCACCCTGTACAGGTGATACCATACCACATCCCCCACCCTTTGACCTTCCTGAGTGTTGATCCCCTTACCAATTGGAGCTCCTGAATGTTTTATGCTTGTATATTTAAATCCTTGGAAGGCCATCATTTTGCTATGCTTCTTGTTTTGTTATTTCCAATGTGAAGCTGCAGGTTTGGCATTGGGTTTTATTCAGAGCTGAAGCTTAACTCTGGGTGGGTGTTTGTTCAGAGCGTTAGGACTGGAGCGCAGTGGTTGCTTCTGCTTGTTTTCTGCTTTATCTACCTGAAGTCTAGATCCAGTTACAGGAGTGAGGGAAGCTTCCTAGAGCTTTAAAAAAAAGACATATATTTATTTTTATGTGTATGTATGTGATTGCAGTTGTCTGCAATTCCTTGTGGAGCTAAACAAGGTTGTGGGAACCTAGCATGGGTGCTTGGGTCCTCTGAGAGAACAGCATGCTGTAAATTTCTGAGCCAGCCTAGTCTCTTCTCAGAGTTGTTGTTGTTGTTCTTCTTCTTTTTCTTCTTCTTCTTCTTTTTTTTTTTTTAGTTAATTTATTTAATGTGTGTGGCTGCTTTGCCTGAATGTATATCTGTGTACCACATGTTTGCCTGATCTCCCTTGAAGTCAAAAAAAGCTTCGGTTCCGTTGGAACTGGAGTTATAGGGAGTTAGTTGAAAGCCGCTATGTGGGTGCTGGGAATTGAACCCAGGACCTTTGGAAGAGCAGACAGTACTCTTAACTGCTGAGCCATTTCTCATCCCTTTCCTAAAGCTTGCTTCTTTCTCTCTCTCTCTCTCTCTCTCTCTCTCTCTCTCTCTCTCTCTCTCTTAAATAACAGTCTCTCTGTGTAACCCTGGTTATCCTGGAACTCCCTCTGTAGTCCAGGCTGGGCTAGAACTCAGGTCTGCCTGCCTCTGCCTCCTGATTGCTGGGATTAAAGACGTATGCTTTTGCTGTCTGGCTTTTCCTGGAGTTTTTTTTTTTTTTTAAACTTCATTTTCATCCATGGATTCTGGGTTGGTATTGGGATTTGGGGCCATGGAGTTTTTATCCTTTTTTGCATATATTTTTTCTGAGTTCAGGAAAGAAGTATGATGTTGTCTATGGTGACAAAAGAGAATTGCATCTATGGTGGGTGTGTATATGTGTATATATATGTCTTAGAATTTTAGTTGTATATTTATGTATCAGAAGATTTCTAATTTCTTGTTGTAAGTTTTTGAAGTCAGATAATATCCAAGTAGCCCAGCGCTAACTGAGTTCCTAAGTCAGGTGTGCCCCGTGTATAGATTGGTAATGGACAGGAGCTAGACAGGTACAAGGAGTGCAGGTTGGTCAGGGCTAGATTAATGGGGCTGGCCGGACTCCAGTTGGCATCTTTGGGTATTTCCCTTATGCCAAAGGCTTCCCTGGGTATTGGGTATTTTAGAATGCTGGGTGGCAGATAGAACTGTTATAGAGATTGGGAAGGCCAACTGCAAAGGATACATAGTAGCAGGCAGCAGGATACAGAAGAACCTCACCTAGTAACACTGTGGCAGGAAGCCTCAGGGACATGACAGGTCTTTGTGGAGCTGCTCTGTGAAGGTTCTGCTGGTAGACCTGTTTGCCCCAGGAGTCAAGTTCATGTTGCAGGAGTGGCTATGGCAGGCTGACATGTTTTTCAGGAGGAAGAGTTTCTGGGGAAGGATGTCATGGAGACCTCAGACAGTGGACACAAGACTGTAGGATGGCCTGAGCTATGGCAGTGGAGAGGGATGAGGCTGGACTGGAGTCTGCCATGTCTTGATCGACAAGGAGGTGTCCTAGACCTATGGGACTTGCAGCTTCTTTGCAAAGGGAGAAAGGCCAGTGGTGGAGTGGGAATGGGGGGTTATGGTGGACATTTTTGCTGCATGTGATAGGCTTTGGTGGGGAAGGGTAGAGATTCCCCTTTTCTGGGAGAAGCAAGTATATTAGACTGGACTAGAGATGTCAGCTGAGCATTAACAGAAGTATTAAAACGCCTGGGTGGACATGGGCGCTTTAAGGCTCACAGTAAGACCTTTGCCTTTTGTGCTCTCTGTTTTCACTGTGTGTGAAGTTCCATTCTGTTCCATTCTTTTGTAGAAGTGACCACAGTAACAGTAGCCAACGTGGGCTCCTCTGCAGATAACGTCTTCACAACATCAGTGGCAAATGCAGCATCGATATCAGGACATGTCCTGGTAAGCTATGGATTGTAGTTGCTTGGCATCTCTCTTTAGAGCTCTTGATGTCACTGCACTGACCACAGGGTGATCCTCATTCTCAGGACCCTTCCAGGGTTTAGATGTGAGTGAACACTCGTAGTTCTCGAAGTCGGGGGGCCTATGTTCCTCCTGTGCTATTGGGCAAGGGAGGAGACTCCGTTTTAGCTAGGGCTTTAACATGAAAGGTGCAGTATAAGTCTAGAAAGGTAGAGAGTATGAGGACTCCTTAGGCTCCTGCTGGCCTTGTGACTTGTGTCCACCAGGTTCAGGCTGCTCTTAACACAAACGAAGCATCTTCTCAGTGCCTGGTTTCTGTTGAGCTCCATAGACACACGAAGAATGACTGTATCTGGTACCCCTGTCCCTTTCTCCAAGGCTAACAGTCCATTAGTCCTTTCCTCATGTTCACTCCTGCAGGTTATCAACATCTTCGATGCTTTTAGTAGCACCCATGTCCAAAATCAGAGACCTTTTGTGTCTGTCACACCGTAGTGCTTTCTATGTGCAGTCTTCAGAAACTTTCCTTAGACAAGGCAGACTTGTTTGGTGTCCAAAAAGCAGCTCTGCATATAAACACACAGTGTGCTTCAGCTTTGACAGATGTGCACACACTTAATAGCCTTTGTGTCTTCTTGGTTCTAGCCTTGGTGCCTTGGGGTGGTCTCTGAAGAGGATTCATGGGCCTAGGTGTGATAAGTGACTAGAGTCTTGCAGTAGGGCCACATTCCATTGTGCCTCAGGCTATCCTAGAGCTGACAAGAGTGCCTTTCCTTCTAGTCTGGTAGGACAGCCCTGCAGATCGGGGACAGCCTGAACACTGAGAAAGCCACACTAATAGTTGTACACACAGATGGGAGCATTGTGGAGACCACTGGGCTGAAGGGCCCAGCAGCACCTCTTACCCCAGGTACCTGCAGCACCTGACCCCAGGCCGTGTGTGTGTGTGTGTGTGTGTGTGTGTGTGTGTGTCTGTGTCTGTGTCTGTGTCTGTGTGTGTGTTAATTTGAAAAATAAATAGAGTTCTATAGAAAAAGCAAATTTTTCCAGGCAGAGAAGGAATGTTGCCCATTGAAGGGTTGGCACTACCCTTTAGTGCTATTCTTATGTACCTGTGAGGGGCTTGATGGTTGGGGATGGAGCATCATGGGCTTTTTCTGGTCATTCTGTGCTCTCATCCTCATAGCCTCTCTTTGCCCAGGTCCTCAGTCTCCTCCTACCCCACTGGCACCTGGCCAGGAGAAAGGTGGTACCAAGTACAACTGGGACCCTTCGGTGTATGACAGCGAGTTGCCTGTGCGCTGTCGGAACATCAGTGGCACGCTCTACAAGAGTAGGCTCGGCTCAGGTGAGGCAGCGACTTGGCTATAGTCATTCCATGTTAAGACTTTGTTCTTTTGTACAACTCTCTTAGTAAACTGGGGCCAAGGAAGCCTGTCATGTGCAAATACCTTTGAGGAGACGAATGTGTGAGTGACTATCAGCCTGCATCCCTGAAGCCAGCTCAGACCACTCAGATGACAGAGGATCCCTGAAGTGGGCTGATGCTCACTGGAGACCCAGTACAGCTTGCAGTGACCATGGACAGTGGATTTGAGATGACTTCCCAGGCAGTATATTGGGTGATTAGAGGCCATGCAGGGCAGAGGAAAAAAAGGCAATGGAAGGAACTGATGTCATCAGGCAAGCCAGCGACAGGCCTTGATAGATTCTAAGGACCAGCCCCTTTCATTCCAGGTGGCCGGGGGCGATGTATCAAGCAGGGAGAAAATTGGTACAGCCCAACTGAGTTTGAAGCCATGGCAGGAAGAGCCAGCAGTAAGGACTGGAAGAGAAGCATCCGCTATGCAGGCAGACCCCTGCAGTGCCTCATCCAGGTATGTGCTAGGACCACACCAGCCTTAGAGCGAGCAGTGGGAAGTGTCCAGAAATGGCATGAGGCAGGGTCTGATGATGACTACTCATAGTATGGCCAGAGCAGTTGAGCTGCCCTCTAGATGGTCTTGTCCTGGATGTGTGCTGGCATTGACTCAGAGAATTACCATGGGGAGCTGATGGGGTAATATTGGCACAGAAGAGGGATACCCCAGACACATGGGAAGAGAGGTAGAGAGAGTCAGTGGCAAGGCCCAGCCACACCTGCCTTCCTTTTGCTCCAATTTCAGTGTAAGGAAGGAAACTTTTTTCTTTAGTTTTATTATTTTATGAGTGTTTTGTCTGCATGTGTGTATGTGTGCTACGTGCATGGTATCTGATGTCAAAGTCCCTGGGACTGGAATTACAGACAGTGTGAGCTGCCATATGGGTATTTAGAATTGAACCTTGGTCCTTTCTGAGAATAATACATGTTCTTAACCACTACACCTACTTTCTAACCCAAGGAGAAAGACTTGATTATTGCTCCAGGTCAGCTCCTGACTGGCTATTCAGTATCTGTGGAGTCTCGATCCTAGGAAGAGAGACTCAAGCCTGCTTGGCAGTGGAGTATTGTACTGACAAGAACTTTCCAGAAGTGATTGTATTTTATACTTAGATTCTTATCTTGGTGGTGGGTGTAATATAGCATTGAACAACTTCCTAATTTCTATATTTATGTCTGTATACTATACCTATATAGTTCTATATTGTACTTATATAATTTATATCTGTAGCTCCTTCTCTATTTCAGGATGGTATTTTGAACCCTCATGCTGCCTCCTGTACCTGTGCTGCCTGTTGTGATGACATGACTCTAGTAAGTCATTAGGTGTTGTGTACCTCCTGCCTGCAGAGGCTCTGTCCCTCCTTTTCAAAAGTTCTGTTGTCTCTGAAGGTTGTTGCCTTCACTGGGTAGAAGGTGACTGTAGGGAAATCCAGGACATTGAAATGGGAAGGCTATATGGAGCCAGGTGAGCCCAGAGTGATGCCTCTTTTAAAGTGGGTATGGTAAACATGCACAGGCCACCTCTTTCAAAATTGTGTTGTAATACACCAGCCAGGCCTGTAGCATAAAGTTATCATTCCAGCTACTAGGGAGGCTAAAGCCACAGGATTAGTAATTCAAGACCTTCCTGACTTAGAGTGAGTTCTAAGCTAGCCTGGGCAACTTAATGAAACTCTTGAAATGAAAAGTTAAAGAGAAGCTGGTCATGGTGGTTCATGCCTTTAGTCCCAGCACTCAGGAGGCAGAGGCAGATGGATCTCTCTGAGTTCAAGGCCAGCCTGGTCTACAGAGGGAGTTCCAGGACACCCAGGGCTACACAGAGAAACCTTGTCTTGAGAAAATAAAGGAAAGAAAAGAAAAAGAGGGGGGCTATAGCTCTGTGATAGAACACTTACTTAGCATATGAAGGACCTGAAATACTGGGAACAAAAGCCCCTACTTTATCATGGGCAGATCTTCTTCTTTTTTTCTTTTTTTTTTTTTTGGTTTTTCGAGACATGGTTTTTCTGTGTAGCCCTGGCTGTCCGGAACTCACTCTGTAGACCAGGCTGGCCTCGAACTCAGAAATCCACCTGTCTCTGCCTCCCAAGTGCTGGGATTAAAGGTGTACACCACCACTGCCTGGCATGGGTAGATCTTCTAATGTTCTTGAAATAGCTCCTCATTTTGAATTCATAACTGATTCAAGAAGCATGTTCTTATTGATTTTGCTTATTGATTTTTGCTATGTAGCTTTTAAAAATGAGACGCTAACATGAACATATTGCTTTTGTTTCCACTCTCTTTAGTATTGCCAATTATTTTTAAATGTCTTAAATATAATGTAGCAGCTGCCTAGTTGTGATTACCTTGCTTTAGTTTTATTAATAATCTGGTAAATTACTAGTTGATAAAAATAAAAATTTAAGCCAGGCATGGTGGCATATGGCTGGATCCCAACACTTAGGATATAAAGTATCTCTTATTTAGGGTTCCTGTTGCTGCAAAGAGCCACCATAATCATAGCAGTCTTTTTTTTTTTAAAAGATTTATTTATTTATTATTTATGAATATACTGTAGCTGTCTTCAGACATACCAGAAGAGGGCATCAGATCTCATTACAGATGGTTGTGAGCCACCATGTGGTTGCTGGGATTTGAACTCAGGACCTCTGCAAGTGCAGTCAGTGCTCTTAACCACTGAGCCATCTCTCCAGCCCCGTAGCAGTCTTATAAAGGAAAAATGTTTACTTGGAGCTAGCTAGTTTATAGTTCAAAGGTTTAGTCCATTATTGTCTTGGTGGGAAACATGGTGGCATGCAGACAGACATGGTGCTGGAGAGGTAGCTGAGAGTTCTACATCTGAATTGGCAGGCAGCAGGGAGAGAGAGTGACACTGGGCCTGGCTTAAGCATCTCAAATCTCACATCCCACCCTCAGTTATAGACTTTCTCCAAACAAGGCCACACCTTCTAATAGTGCTACTCCCTGTGGACCTATGGGGGCCATATTCATTCAGATTACCACATGGAGTTAGGTGAACTGCCACAAGTTGGAAACCTGCTTGGGTTAACAAATCTTAGGCTAGCCAAGTCTTTTTTTTTTTTTAAGATTTATTTATTTATTTTATATGAATACACTATCACTGTCCTCAGACACACCAGAATGCATTGGTTCTCATTACAGCTGTGCTCTAAACCTCTGGACCATCTGTGCAGCTCCAGAGAGAAATTTTTAAGAATTCTTTTAATCCTAGCACTTGGGAGGCAGGCAGATCTCTATGAGTTCAAGGCCAGCCTGCTCTATAGAGCAAATTCCAGGACAGCCAAGGCTATATAGAGAAACCCTGTCTTACTATTTTTGTACTATTTGACAGTTTTATACAATCATACAAATGTATCTTGATCACATACACCTCTGATTTCCCCCTCCTGTTTTCCTGAGTCCTCCTCTACATGTGACAGTTTCATATGTTTATGCAGTGTGTCTTGATCACACAGACACCTCTGACTCCCCCTCCTACTTCCCTGCACCCTCCTAGGCATGTTCCCCTTTCACCTTTATTTCCTCTTATTTTTTTTTCATAGCTCAGTGAGTTCAGTTAGTGCTGTCCACATGCATGTGAGTGTGGGGCAGAAAGAAATTGTAATTGGAGAGATGCTATGTTCTTGGCTGTAAATACCAAGTATACTTAAATTTTTATTTGCTTGCTTTTGAGACAGACTCTTACTATGTATCCCTGGCTATCCTGGAACTCAGTATTTAGATCAAGCTGGCCTTGAACTCAGAGATCTGCCTGCCTATGGTTCCCAAGTTCTGGGATTAAAAGGTTTTCCATCATGCCAAACTTATTTAATTTTAGTATAATTTTACTATAAAAACTTAATGAAAATAATATAATTTTAATCATCATTTTAAAAACCCAAAACAAAAACAGGGGCCAGTGGTGGTTCATGCCTTTAATCTATCGTTCTGGAGACAGAGGTAGGCGGGTCTCTGTGAGTTCGAGGCTAGCCTGTTTAACAGAGCAAGTTCCAGGATAGTCAGCACTACACAGAAAAACCCTGTCTCAAAAAACAACAAAAACCTAATCAATCACCCCCCCCCCCCCCGAAATGAGTGGGAGATGGTCAGAGATCCTGAGATATCACAGAGTAGCATGCAGGGATTGGTCTTTCCAGGGCTTCAGGACACAACACAGAACCATTGATGGTACTGTAAAGCACAAGTCTCTAGGTGTGAATCTCATAAAACATGGTGAGCTTTGTGTTGTGAAAACTGGAGAATGCTGATGAAGGCAATCAGCAAAAACCTGGACAGGGCAAGTCACACCGACTCACGGTGGGAGGCTCAGCATGGTGAGGGAGCTAACTTCCCAAACCGACAGGCCCAGTGTACTCAGGATTAACAGGGTTCTCTAGGTACAGAGAGATTGATTCTAAAGTTTATATAAAAGTATGAAGGGGATAAAATAGCCGTAGCAGTTTTGAAAAAGAAGTCTCAAAGTTAGGTGTGGTAGCGCACGCCTTCAATCCCAGTAAATTTAATCCTTTAATCTCGGAGACAGAGGCAGGTGGGTTTCTATGGATTAGAGGTCAGTCCAGTCTACATAGTGAGTTTCAGGCCAGCCAGGGCTACATTAGGAGACTATTTCAGAAAAAATAGAAAAAGACAAATTTGACATTGCCAGGCTCACACTGTGGGCTTGGACGAGTTCTCTATTGCTGTGGTAATCTACAGGGTATCAGTAGGGAGCGTCAGGGACCTCCTGAGAACTGAGCAGAGTCCAGTTGCCAACCCCAACTTTCCAACATGTGCTCAACCATTGGATGTTTCTGGACAAGGAATGAACTTTGACCCAAACTACACTGTAGATAAAAGTGAATTCAGATTGTAGCAAAGAGCCAACCATGAGAGGAAATGCTGTGAGATTTTAGAAGGAAAACATGGAACTATCTTTGTGATGTGGGGTTAGACCCAGAGTTTCTAAGAATGATCCCAAAGTTACAGTTTTTAATTACTGCTCAGTAGTCTGCGCTTTGTAGGATTTTCAGCTTGGGCTTCCACTAGGGCCGTGATCTCAACCTTCGGGTCACAACCCCTTGGGGGTTGAACAGTCAGCCTTACACAGGGTCACATATCAGATATCCTGCATCTCAGATATTTACATTACAACTCATAACAATAGCAAAGTTACAGTTTTGGAGTAGCAGGGAAATAATTTTATGGGGGGGTCACTACAACAAGAACTGTATTAAGGGGTCAAAGCATTTATGAAGGTTGAGAACCACTGTTCAAGGGGACGTGAGGTGTTCTATTAGTCTAGTTCTCAAAGATGGAAGTGGTGACAACTACCTGAGGTCTCTGGAGATTGTCCCCAGGGACCCCACAGGTCAGTAAACACCCAAGAAGAGTTCTAAGTGCAAAAGAGAGAACAGCTGCCAGAGGTGAGGCAGGGACGCTCCTCCAGCTCAGGTTGAGAGAGGCTCCACTCGGGGTTGGTCTGTCTCGCTCAGCTCCTGTCAAGGAATAGGTTTTTTAATGGGGGGGGGAGCTATATAGCCTTGCTCACCTAATAGCTATAGGCTATAGTAACTTCCCAACAAGTGCTAGGCTAAGACCCCTTACCCCAGCCCCTCCGGATCAGGCTGGCTGAGCCTATTGCTTGCTATCTTCTGCTGAGAATATTCTTATGGCTATTTTCCAATTGTGATGGGTCTCACCTTAATCCCTGTTCACATAGCGAGGTTGCCATTTCATAGAGTGAACTATGACTCCTCTAATGAACTGACTTTATTTTAGAGACTATAGGGATGTCCAAAGCCAAAAATATTCTGAGAACAGTGGGAAGGCTAGTAACCACACCAGAGCAAGATGCTGCCTCACATTAGCTAGAGAGAATTAAGAAAAGCAGCAGCCAAGAAAAACCTGCTCAGGTTAAGACCAGGCTCCAAAGGTTTGCCTTGAAGAGACATAGGTTAACCTGCTAAGATAATGACAGTTTACATGCCAGGAATCTGTTAGGAACTGTGGAGCCCTACTGTAGCTCTGCAAGTTGTCATCTGCTAGATAGAGAAGCCAAGGACAGGGCCAGCTAGCCATGGGGCCTACTTTTACCTGAAGCAACTGCACACCGAGGTTGAATTCTCAAAGGCCATTACGCCCTGCAGGAAACAACGTGGACCCCAGGGGGAAAATAAAAGAGCAAAAAGCCAGGGATAGTGGGTGTCAGTACCCACTCCTGCCACAGTGTGTCGCCTGTCAAGTCTGGTGCTCAACTGAACTAAGATAGGAGATGAGCAAGAAGCACAGCCTACTCTGCACAGTAGCAAACAGCAGCTGTAGTCAGGAGAGGTCCATGTCCAGATACCAAAGAACCACATAAAGGACGGGAGGGCTGAGGATATAGCTCAGTTGGAAGAATGTTTGCCCATCATGCACAAAGCCACTGGGTTCAACCCCCTGCATCACATAAATTTCCCACACTTGTAATGTCAGTGCTCACCAGGTGGAGGTGTGTGCTGGGTATTTTTTTAACAAACCTAGAAGAGGGAATCTCAATTGAGGATTGATGTGGGAAGGAGACAGGGATCAAACTCAGGTTCTTGGTAGGTTTGTTGTCGAGTGCTGCCATACATCTCTGAGCTTTTTGTTTGGTTTTATTTTCAGGACAGGGTCTCACTATGTAGATGAGTCTGGTCTTGAACTCACAGAGATCCACCTGCATTTGCCTCCCCAGTGCTGGAATTAAAGGCCTGTGCCACTGGGCCTAGCCCCTGAGCTTTTTCTTTCTTTCTTTGTGTGTATGTGTGCGTGTGCGTGTGCGTGCGTGTGCGTGTGTGTCTCACACTGTAACCCAGGCTGGACTTGACTCGAACATGGCAGTCATCCTGCCTCTGCCTTGGTTGTTGAGATTGCAGGCCTGCACTATGCCGCTTGCTTCCCAGTGCTGCTTCCTTGTGTTACAGATGGCCCTGCATGACTCTTCCACTGCTGATGACTTTCATTTTAGGCTGTGGTTTTCCTTGTTCTCCTTTACTTGGGCTCACTTCCTTTCTTCTAAGAATCTCACACTCCAGATGTCGAGGTTGTGTTCTTGCCCAGCAGCCCTGCTGTTCATGTGTTTCTTCAGAAAACGTCTTCTCTGCCGTTGTGTGGGCTGCTGTGGCTTTGCTCTCTGCAGTAGTGAGAGTCACAAACTGATACGGAGTGGGGGGCAGCCCGTGTCCTTTGAGTGTTGCCAGTGGTCAGCTTTACCTTTCTCCCCCAGAGTGGCCCTGTCAGGCTCTTCGTCCCTTATAAAAGGCGCAAGAAAGAGAACGAGCTGCCCACAACTCCAGTTAAGAAGGATTCCCCCAAGAACATCACGCTGCTTCCTGCCACGGCGGCCACCACCTGTGAGTGCCAGCGCAGCAGAGCAGTGCTTTGCTGAGTTGTCATCTTGTCTTTCTACCTTAGCCCAACTCAGGGACTCTTCATTTCTGAGATGGTTTGACAATGAAAAGTCTTCTCCTTTGATTCAAACTGCAAAGTATTTTAAAGTTCACTTACATTTTATTTTCTGGCTGGAGTGCACAGTTCCCTGGGCCCATAGTCAGACTTGGCAGTGTGGCAAGAGGGCTGAGTCCCGCCCTCTCTGGCTCTTTCCCCTAGGAGCCAAGGTGACTGACTTCCTGATGTCATACCACGTGTGGGGTATGTCCCTGTGTCTACTCTTGGGATCTCTCTGAAGCCTGCACCTTTGCAAAGAGCTTCTGGCCCAGGGCCTGATGTGGCCATGAGTAAAATGCCTTTTTTGCCTTTCCAGTCACTGTGACACCCTCAGGACAGATCACTACCTCTGGGGCACTAACCTTTGACCGAGCATCCACTGTAGAGGCCACCGCTGTCATCTCTGAGAGCCCAGCCCAAGGTGATGTCTTTGCAGGAGCCACAGGTAAGTTGTCTTAGGATGTGCCTGATATGTCCCCAATCTCTATGACAGTCTCTGTTGCCTGGCTCCTCAGCAGAGACCTTGGGCAGGGCTGTATCTTGATAGGAGCCGGGTGGGTATTGAAGAAATAGCACTGTGGCCAAGATACAGAGCTAGAGATAGGTAGCATTTGCTGATGTTGCTTTAGACTGACAACAGCGTCTAGAAACAATCCTAGTCATGTGTCATTGTAAATATTCTAAGAGTCATGTTAACAAAGCACATGATATCTTTGTGATAAATTTTATTTCCTCAACTACCTGAATCCCAGTGTGTCATCAATTGAAAGTATATACTCAGGTCACTCAGCAGCCACCAAAGGCCGGGATCTGTGGAGTGAGTATGCAGCTGTAGGGACTTGGAATTACATCTGCGGCACTGAAGCTGTCTGCCTCTCTCTCACAGTGCAAGAGGCAGGTGTGCAGCCCCCTTGCAGGGTTGGCCACCCTGAGCCCCACTACCCTGGCTATCAGGACAGCTGCCAGATCGCTCCGTTTCCAGAAGCTGCATTGCCAACATCACATCCCAAAATTGGTGAGTATAAAGGAATTTATGTGCATATAAGCTATAGTCCTCAAAATTATGGTTTTGATTTTTATTCTCTGTTGTGCTGGGGATGGAGCCCAGTAGCATCTCATAAATGCTAGGCAGGTTCCCTGCCTCTGACCCAATGCCCCAGCCTCAGAAGTGCTTCTTTTGAATGAAACAGGGCTTGTGCTGATGTGTTTGTTTTTTCTCTTGGAGTGCTGGGTTAGGGCTGACAAGGTCCAGCCTTCTACCTGTATTTGCAAATAAAGTTTTATTACACACGACTGTGCTGTTCACTCATGTGTAAGGTTTCTTTTGTTTGTATCAGGCTGCTTCCATAGAGACTGAAATGACCTGTTGTTGGTATTGTCAGGTCCACCCCAGCAGAAATGTGTGAGCAGACTATCTCCTTGCCTTGATGAGCCATGGAATTGGATCAAGCTGTGTCTGGTGTGAGGGACTGTGCCAGTATCTGTGTCCCCATAGCGAGAGCTGAGATGACCCTCTCTATATGGGCACCTTGACTTTGGGTTTTCACTTAGTGGCACATCTTGAGCAAATTTCTGTCAGTATACTTTTTAAAGGTACATACTATGGATAAAATATTACCTGTACCCTCCCCTGCTGATGGGCATTTGGTTTTATACTTGTCAGGTTCTTCAGGATTGAGGAACTTGCTTCCAAGAGCTAAAAACAAATAAGATAAAATCTTCCCTTTTATCTATCTGACCTCTTCCATCCCACAGGCTCATGCAGACCCTGCTTCTTCCAACCCATGTCAGCCTCCTCTCATCTGTGCTGCAGGCTGGGTCCCATCCTGCCCTAGAAGGATGTGTTCTCTACTGCTTATCTTGGCACTCAGCTTGCAAGAGACCACAGATATTTAGTAACATTAAAATAAGTTTTTGAAAAACTCAAATATGCAAAAAAAGTTGTAAATACAATACAAAGAACTTCCTCCCGTCCCCAGCTACTTAAGAGTAGTTGCAGGCATTACCCAGCATGCTTCAGTGTTTTATTTTGTTTCCTAAACACACAAAAAGATGGTATAAAACTCAGGAATTAAGTCAGCATTTATTAGTCAACCATGAGCCAGTGACTAGTGGTCCCCACTGGCAGGATAAACCATGACTTGCTTCCTGAACTCTATCCCCTTAACACTTGGCCTTTCACCTGCCTTTTGGAGGTTACCAACAGTTGTCATGTAGCATGTCCCCTACCCTGGTACAGTGACGTTGGCTCCTGTGGTATGGGTTGTTGTCAGTGATGGTGCAGACCTGTAATAGGGGCTGCCTGGAATCCTGTGTCTTCTGAGGCCCGTCTTCTTGCTGAGGATAACCCTGACAATTGAGCGAGGGTAGGAAAGTCTCATGGAAGGTTCCTGAGACCACAAAGGTCTATGGTGCCTCTTCCCACTAGGTTGAATTTAGGGCTTCCCGTTTTAGTCAGTTCTAATGGCTGCTTTCCTATTTCTGTTCATATCCTCCCCACTCCCACCCCCACCCCCACCCCCGACTTAGAGCCCTGTGTGAGGCAGCAGGAGCTATAGAGATGGTCTCTGTGTTGACTTACCCATCACTACAGGGACTTTCTTTCTGCCTTAACTAGACACTTGAGGTTCATCTCAAGTTTTTTATTAGTCTATCAACCCCTCTCTCTCTCTCTCTCTCTCTCTCTCTGTGTGTGTGTGTGTGTGTGTGTGTGTGAGTGTGTTAGTATTCCTTTTTGTTGTTTTGATATGGGGGCCTTACTATATTAGCTCTGGTTGGAACTCGATATGTAGGCTGGTTTTGAGCTCACAGAAATCTACTTCCCTCTGTCTTTTGAGTGCTGAGGTTAAAGACATGCACCACCATACCCAGCATGTGTTTTTATGTACATTTGTGTGTGTGAGTGTGGATTTATGATGCCTTGGTACACTATAGCATGTACATGTGGAGATCAGAGACTGACCTGGGTATCAGTCTTCCCCTTCCACCTTGTTTGACACAGGCCTCTTGTTTTCCCACTGCCAATATCAGGCTAGGTGTCATTCAGAGCCTGGGCAGTCTCTCCTGTCTCCTCAGTCTCACTTCGAAGCTCAGAGGCATGCTGGGATTGCAGATGTGCGCTATCACATCTAGATTTTACCTGAGTTCCTGGGATTCAGACTCAGGTTTTTATGCTTGTGCTGCAAGTGCTTTACTCACTGAGTAACCTTAGTAGCCCTCATCCCAAGTTTTAAATCCCCTCTCCTTTCAGAAGTTACTGGTGTATCTGGCCTGCATCATAGAGGTTGGAACTGTTGAGTACTGACTTTGGTGATGACTGGGTGCTTTATCCAGTTCACGGCATTGGAAAGAGGCTTTGTGCAATAAAACACCATCCCACAGAAGCCCTGCCACCCTGGGTGTTAACAGTGTGTCTACTCTCAGACTTCTCAGTAGACTAAAGTGGAAAGCACTTTGTACCCCCCACATGCACCTCTATTCTAGACCTACCTGCAGAGGGGCGTCACAGTGTCTGCCGCGTCTACCATCACAGTGTGCTCTGGCCCCTCTCTGTCTGTCTTGGTGGCTTTCTTCTCCAGCTGTGAGAATCATGACTTACTGTCCTTAGTTACCTCCATACTGACTGCAGACCCCAGGAAGATTTCCCAGATAAGCCTTGGTTTTCCTAGGTGTAGTGCTGGCTGGATATCTCTGTTCCCTGCCCTCAGTGTGCTTGTCCTGTGGCTGTTTGCTTCTGTGTTTCATGACTACCTGTTCTCTGGGTGAGTGTCTTGCTTGCCATTTCTTTCTCTTGTCTGTGAGCTTATACTATAGCCCTTGTGTTAGAAGTGATCAGCCCTCAGGGAAGGCTTTTGGCTGACAGCATGTGGGGACATGAGCAAAGTCGGGACATTGTCCATCTCCAGTGCATCTCCTCACACCTGAGGCTGTACCTAAGCTTGGAAGTCACTAATCGCTGGTTATCCCACATTCTACATTCTAGTCCTGACATCGCTGCCTGCCTTGGCCGTGCCACCCTCCACCCCCACCAAAGCTGTCTCTCCTGCTGTGGTCAGTGGGCTGGAGATGTCAGAACATCGCAGCTGGCTGTACCTGGAAGAGATGGTCAACTCCCTACTCAACACGGCCCAGCAGCTGAAGACGCTGTTTGAACAAGCCAAGCAGGCGAGCTCTTGCAGGGAAGCTGCTGTGACCCAGGCGAGAATGCAGGTTGATGCAGAGAGGAAAGAGGTAATGTGAGCTCAGACCTGTGCCATCACCTTCCCCTGGCCCTGAGGTAGCATGTGATTCCTGTGCTGGCCTAAGAAGATCATTGGTCCACTGGCCCTGAGAAGGGAGATCTGGAAAATAATACAAATGAGGGTAGCAGACACTAATGAAACATTTGTGTAAGGTTGGCGTACTTCAGCAGGGAAGACATTTTTGTATACACCAACCATTCTTTTTGAATGCATGGTATTCATAGATGTTTCTATATTCAGGCTATATTTATGTAGTAAAATATGTCTCATATTTTAACTTTGGAAAGTGTTACTTGGTGTGGATCTGATACATAAACACACACTGTTTTCCATCTGCTGTTTCCAGTGCCCTGCCTCCCGTGGGCCATGGAGGATGTTGTGACCTTGTGGCCACTATGTTTTCCTGTAGCTTCTCAACACAAGGGCCCAATGCATCCAAAGATAAATGACTATTCACATTTTCTGTGTGCTTTGGGCTTTTTTTTTAATCAAAGCAAAATTCAGCCACAGTAAAATGCCTGTATCCTTTTAGAGCTCTGGCAAACATCAGCAGCCACATTGGTGAGGGCAGCCGCCCCCGTGGCTCCCAGTGTTATCCCCTGGCATTACTGCCTCTCACACCTGTCCTGATTTCTGTTGTCAGAGTTCAGCATCGAGCTGCGCAACTCTACAGCGGCGCAGAGCCCGGCAGTGTCCCTTTCCTGTCTTGTTTCCTTCCTTCAGCAAAGCACTTGTGGATCCTGAGGTTCATTTTCCTTCAGTCATTCCAGCAGCAATTGTGGAGAAGACTTTCCTTTCCCCACCAGAGGTCTGCTGAGAGGCATTGATGGCTTGATGCGGGTCTGCGTTCACACTTAATCTAGATCACTTAGAAATATGTGGGATTCTCAGGTAGTTGAGGATTTTCTGTGTTTCTTGTGGCAGTTGGCTTCATTCTAGTGTGGCTCTGGAGACTGTTTTCTGTGGGACTTTAGCTATGTTTGTTTATTTTATGTGGATTTTTTGTTTGTTTTGCTTTTAAGACAGAGTCTCTCTATATAGTCCTGGATATCCTGGAACTCACAGAGATCCACCTGCCTCTGCCTGCGTGCTGAGTGTGTTTAATGCTGAGATTAAAAGTGTACACCACCACATCTACCTTGGTGTTTTGAGACAAGGTCTCATGTAGCCCAGGCTAGCCTTTAACTTGCTATGTAAATGAGGCTGTCCTTAAACTTGGGATCCTTCTCCCTCTAACCTCCAAGTACTGGGATTATAGGCATAAGCCATCGAGCCTGGTTTGTTTTTTGAGGCAGAATCTTCCTATTTAGCTCTGATTGGCCATCTCATGATCCTCCTGCCTCAGTCTACTTAGTGTTCGTTTTTAGGACCATGTCACCTTATCCTGTTTAAGTTCATTAGGGTTCATTTTGTGCTGTAGTGTGTACTCTGTTTTGATGGACATTGCTATGTACTTGATAATGGCTTGCTTCCTTGGGTTATTTCAGTATTCTGCAACATCATTAGGTCACAATAACCTGACACTATTTAACTCTTCAGGCTTTCCTTCAGTCTGAAGAGTTCCACGGGTACTATACACATTTAATGATCATATATACATGAAAGTGAAACACTCATACACATAGAATAATTATAGGATTTTTAAAATATATTAACAAGCTGGGTGTAGTGGAGCATGCCTTTAATCCCAGCACTCAGGAGGCAGAGGTAGGTGGAGTTCTGTGAGTTCCAGGCCAGTCTAGTTTACATAGTGAATTCCAGGAAGGCCAGAGCTACATGGTGAGACCCTGTCTCAAAGAAACAAACAAATAATAAAAATAATTAACAAAACAACCCATTGATTGTCAATTGGCCATGGTAGCTAGCTGGTCTTGTACTGAATCTGGTGATGCTAGGAACAGACCTTGACTACTGGTGTGTGACCAGAGTCATGTGGCTTGTGGGAACAGACCAGAGGGAAGTAAAGAACCCTGTCACCATCTGGCTCCTGGGTACACAGCCCAGCATACATAATGATGGCTTTGATAGATGTGCTAGCCGCAGCAGTGAGCTCTTGTGCATTGGAGGGTGCTAAACTAGAACTCAGATCTTTTGAGGAATAGCCCTACTGTCATCTCAGTAGACATGGAGTCAAAATCCTATAGGAAGACTCTATACATGGGTCCCTAAGTGTACAAAGTGGCGAGGGGGAGGAAATCGTGGTCAACAGCTCAGTTATCTTCTTTTTACCTGTTGAAAAGTGTGGATTTTCTTGAGATTGGCTGAAACACTAACATCTAAACACACCAACTTGCATTACTAAGTTTGCATTCTCTGAGAAAACAATCTCTTGCCATCGCAGTTTGATTTGCAATCAGTCCTACTTGATCACAGGATAGGAAGTGGAGGTGCAGAAAGCAAATGTCGCTTGTGTTGGAGTGGAAAGTCCATGTTGGGACCCCTTCCACTTGGGAGTTATACTGTAGGGCCCCCGCTGAGAAGCCTCCCTGAGGGGCTTTCAGGAGGTAGTGCAGGAGTTAATCTAATACGGCTGGAGGCAGCCTGAGTCTGCCAGCTTTCACGTTTTATTTGGAATTTTAAAAGAGATTAAATTTAGCCTAGCTGAAGCAAGTTGTTACAGGAGTGTGTGTGTGTGTGTGTGTGTGTGTGTGTGTGTGTGTGTGTGATTACATGTACAGAGACTAAATAAATAAACAGGGCGGAAAAGCAGATGCCCTTGCCTGTCAAGAACACTGTGTCCAACAGAAACCAAGCTGGCTGAGTAGCCTCAGGGTCTTATATTAACCACTACGTCCAAGAGCCCTTGCCTACTTGCTGAGCAGTTCAAATGGTACAGGTACAAGAGGAGCTCATCTGCTCAGACCGTGATAAGGGAGAGCTGTTCTTGCCTTCTCCAGATTGAACCGAACATTCACTTAAGTGTGACAGTCCCAGAGCAGGAGCACAGCCATCCACTGTTGTCTTCATGGATGCTGACCAGAGATGCCACTGCTCATCCCTGAGTCCCCAGGAAGCTGCTTGAGGGGACCTGTCTACAAAAGTGGGACACCTTGGAAATGCGACCTAATAGACTCAAGAAGGAGCTGTCCTAGGGGCTGGGTATAAAGACAGTTATTTCACAGGAGTTAATTCATTCACAGGAACACTCCTGATCAGAGGATAGAAAGACACAAGACAAAAGATTAGGTGTGGTGATGGTGCACACACTTCTAATCCCAACAGGGAATAAGTTCATGCAAGCCTGGGCTACATAGCAAGTTCAAGCCAGACAGGCTACCATAGAGTACTTGGCTTTTTCCCCACAGCCAGCTTAGCTGACCATGGCCCCTTCCAAGGTTTCAATGTGGTGTTTATTAGGCAGCTGAGCAAGAAATCCATGGTGGTTTCACTTGCTCTTGGCCTCAAATTAGATACTATTAATCCAACCCCTCGGCCTCTGCCTGCTGCTGGTCCTGCTTTGTGATGAATCTGTGGATTTGACACTTTTGTCTTCTTCAGTTGCTTGACTAAGAGACCCTCACACCTATTCCATTTTTCGAATTGAGTCTCAGCTCCTCAGAACATGCTCTATCAGAGGTTCTGAGGGAGGATGCTCAAGGCTCCCTTTTCATGGCTAGTACCTGAAGTGGTGAACCATTGTAGGAACAACCCCTAGTCTTCTGCCCACTGACCCATTCATCCATCCATCTACAAGAGCCTCTAGCCTGGCCCACATAGTCTAAGTTGGTTAGTTTTTGTTTCAGCCAACATGCACCACATCCACAGCACAGATCACACAGTGCACAGCACACTGCAGACAACATGAGCACAGAGCATGTAACACACAGCACATGGCACATGGCACATGGCACGCAGCACATAGCTGCTGTACTCTTTTTCTAACAGCTTAGGTTTTTAAAAAAAGATTTATTTATCTATTTATTTTATGTATATGAGTATACTGTAACTGTCTTCAAGACACACCAGAAGAGGGCATCGGATCCCATTACAGATGGTTGTGAGCCACCATGTAGTTGCTGGGAATTGAACTCAGGACCTCTGGAAGAAGAGCAGTCAGTGCTCTTAACCACTGAGCCATCTCTCTAGCACATGGCTTTGTTGTTGCTGTTGTTGTTGTTTTAATACTTTAATGATTTATCTGTTTTCATTTTATGTACATTGGTGTTCTGCTTGCATACATGTCTGTGTGAGGGTGTCGGATCCCTTGGAACAGGAGTTACAGACAGTTATGAGCTGCCATGTGGTGCTGGGAATTGAACTCCAATCCTCAGGAAGAGCAACCTTAACTGATGAGCCAGCTTTCCAGCCTCTGGCTTCCCTGCTTTCAGTTGCCAGGCTTCAGGCGTGTATGTAGGCCAGGTTCTTCCAGTGCCCAGATACCAGCCAACCATTGTCTCCCTCTCATTCTCTGTGGAACCTATGGAGGCCACACCTGTAGAAGTAGAGCTACTGCCTTAAAGGGGCAGGCCATGGGGCTGGACAAGGGGTCTTTGGAATTCTGCCTGGATGGCTCTGAAAGGAAGAGTGTCCTCCAGCCCAATCCGATGCCATACTGCACTTCTGAAGTAGGTGTTCAGGGAGGGGCTGTGCATCCCTCCCTCTCTTCCCATGTCCTCTGAGGACCACTGGGAATGCTCCTGAGAGTCGCCATTCTACCTCCAGCTTGTCCATCAGCAACATTTAGACGAGACTCCATTCTGCACGGTCATCCCAGTGCTGCTGCTTTCTGACGCAGAGAGGGACAGACGGAGGAGCCCATGATGCGCAGCTGTGACCACGACCACAAAGGCTGCTCCTCACTGTCTCACTTCATTTCACTGCCACTTGGTGACATCGGAGCTCTTACACAGGTGTACGAACACACGTTTCTTTCTTGGTTGCTGTGTGGCCAAGGTTGACCTAGAACTTGCAATCCTCCTGCATCTGCCTCCCAGGTACTGGGACTGTCTATATGTACTGAATTCCAAGGTGCCTCATACGCTTTTTGATTTTGTTTTTTGAGATAGAGTTTCTTTATGTAACTCTGGCTGTCCTGGAACTTGCTTTGTAAACCAGGCTGGACTCAAATGCTGAGACCCACCTGCCTCTGCCTCCTGAGTAGAGTACTGAGATTAAAGGTTTGCACCACCACTGCTTGGCTATCCTTACATGCTTTTAATAGACTAGAAAGACAAGACTGTGGCAGGAGCTACATGTCTGTCTTCTATCCATTTCACCTGCAGTGTCACCACCAAGCATACACACAGAAGGAATACAAGCTTTAGACATGCTGAAGATGGATTATAAACTGCTTGTGAGAGTGGCAGGATTGGGATCTTTACTTGGTAGGATCTTCGCTTTTCTTGCCCTAGGAAGTGAGGTCCTTCAGAAACAGAAAAGGCCAGATGGAGTAACCCTGCTGGGGTTCCGTGAACAGATGTACCTGAGAGGATCCAAGCAGAAGCAGGGCTGCCTAGAGATCTGAGGGCACGCGAAAGTCTCAAAGACTTGTACTGGAAGGAAGTGGTTTCGCTTTCTCCAGGCCATCATCTGGCATAGTACCGAGTTGTATGATCTTGGGGTCAAGGTATGAGAGACAACTTACTTCATGATAAAAGTACTGGAGACCTAGGATAGCAAAACTGAAACAAACAGAGTCAGGCCTCAGCCTGGACAAAAGGCAAAAATAGCTGCTGTGCAGATTTGCTGCAAAATGGTGTTTATTCTAGTCCTTGATGCATTTCTTTGGCACAGAACTTCTCATTGGCTGGGTCCTTCAGGGAGGTACACACATAGTGTGGCTCCCTCTCTGAATTCTCACATCCTGTTGGTTCAGGATACAAGCCTTATCGAATAAAGTCCCCATGGCTCAATAGTCCTTCCTTTTTGATCCCTGGACTCACTCTCATGGCAGACTCCCTGTGACCTTTCAACCCCAGGATGAATTGAGAATATATAGATAACAAGCTGGCAGCTAGGGAAGACGGGCCCTAGCGCCTCCTGCATATCTGCCATTCTCTGGTGAGCTCTAGGTGCATCTCACACTGAAAATAGGTCTAAATTGTTCATTTCTTAATGGTGATGAAGAGGGCCAGAGAGATGGTTAAGTGTGTAAAGTCTCTTGCTGCCAGGCCTGATGACCTGAGTTTGATCCTAGGAACATGCTGGAAGGGAAGAACCAACTCCTGCAAGTTGTTCTCTGGCCTCCACATATGTACCATGTCATGTATGTTCAAATGCCCACACATAAATAAATGTAATAAAAATGTGAAAGCCTTCAAAGAAGTCAGGAGCAAAGAGACAGGTGGATTCCTGAGTTCAAGGCAAGCCTGGTGTACAGTGTGAGTTCCAGGCTAGCTACAACTAGTTATCTAGGGACAAGGCATTGAACTACCCCCATCATTAGCAGGTCCCAAGTTCAAGTTAGGACTTAAAGAACATTTGTAGATCTAATGACAAATACATTATTGAGTGATTTGGGATTAATGTTTGGGTTTTCTGTGAGGCATTGCTCAGTTACCTATGCCATACAATTTGTACAATTTAGAAATCAGTGATGCCTAAAGCAGTGGGTAACATAGCCATTCGTTGTTCATATTCCTGCCAAGTTGACGTTGAAGCTGGCCTGAGTGCTGTGCCAATGGACAGTTCACCAGCCCTCCGTCTGGGGCACAGGTCTGGGTACATATTCTTTCTGAGGCTGATGCCAAGGACTCCCTGACTGTTGGTTCTCCATGCTGCTGGGGAATGGTTCTCTACAGCTTCAGGCTCATGCTGGGCTCTTCAGACCAAATGCCCCAGAGGAAGTTCTGTGGCCTCTTTACCGGAGATCACAGTGGTGACCCTTTCTGTTGAGGCTCACTCATGGAAAGCCACTCTGTGGTTCCAAGACTCTCTGTAGGTTTCTAGGAAGCTCAGAGGGCCTTTTTGAGGTCACTTTGCCAGCATGGACAGCTGTCACGGGTGTCTCTCTGCTAGCATGGTGGAATATTGTCTCTGAAAGAAGAGACTGATCTTGGGGCCCTCTTCCATTTTTTCAGAAAAGCTGCAGCATTAGTACATAGGGTCTCTGTGACCGTCACAGGCTGTCCTCCAGAAACGTGTCAATCATAGCCCTCTTGTCCCACCACTGAACACAACTGCCAGCTCCACAGTGAGTTTCATTATTGCTGCCATTTTTGTGCTCAGGGCTGTCTGGGGCACATAGGCTGCGCCAGCACAAGAAAGGGAGGGGTATCTCCCCCAGCTACATAGGCCAGGCTGCTCCCCTCTTCTCTACAGCTTTGAAGTCTGTTGGACATGCTCAGACTGGCTCTTCTCACAGTGGACCTAACAGAGGCTTCAGCAGGAAGGACACATCCTATCTCACCGCATCCTGTATTCAGTGGCAATCCTTGCAGCCTGGACTAGGATGCCTGCTCTTGTCTGCTGTCTCTCTCTCTCTGCAGACCTGGTCACTGAGCCAGTTCACCTGGGAGCTCTCCTGGACAGGAGTCAGGAGTTAACCAACCAGTTTGTCTCCCGCCCTCTTGATCTGTCTGGTCACTTATTTTTAGCTGGGTGAACACACTGATGTTTTGAGATCTCTAGTTATAGCCAGTGCTGTCCTAGCTCCTGTGTGTCTGGCCCTCCACTCCTCCCCATAGTGCCTTCCCTGACTCTGGCCTACCAACTCTGTCTATGGATATTTTTGTAGTTTTTTGTCATTTAACGTGGAAACAGAGTCTGGCAGCTAATTCAGTGCCCAGGATCCATCTGCAGTTAATGCTTTCTGAAAGGACTGAGGTAGCTGATGTTTTGTAGATAGATGGTAGTCACGGTGAAGACCACAGCAGGAAGCTAAAGTTTAGAACAAGAGCCTACAAGTAACTATTGTGTTTCCAGCATACCTGCAAGAGCAGTGATCAGAGTGGACTGAGGAGCATTGTGAGCAGCAGTCACAGCTGTATATTGTATGTGTTGTATATATTGGTCACAGCAGGCTGTTGCCCATTGCCTATTAACATGGGTCCCTTTGGCCTGTGTGACCCAGTACCCTAAGGTATGTCCTTCCCAACTCTGTAGCCCAGTCTCAGGCTTTCTGGTTCTCTCTATCCTGGAAAGTGTTTGTTAACAGCAAGCTTACAGTTGTCAAATGCCATTCATAATTCGTTGTTTTACAAAAATAAGTCACTAAGAGGTTGTGTTCAGCCCTTCAGTTTAGTTTATTAACCATCCTCCACTAATGTGGCTTAAAGAAAAAGTACACGAAACATTGGGCGATTAGTGCTGTTTCAATGGAGTGACTTTGAAGAGCGGCATGGGGGAAACCTTGGGGATGCTAAGACCACTGGGGATACTAGACCCAGACTCCATAGCAGAGCTGATACACTCAAGGTATCTCAGAGAGGTTGCAATGCTAGTCCCCCACTATCTGCAGGCTAGGACCTCAAGCACTCAGGAAGTCTGCTAAAGGGTTGAGAACTTTTCCCAAGTTGGACTCTATACCCTCATGGCTAATAGTCTGTTTCTTTTATTTATTTTTTTTATTTTTATTTTTTTTTTGGTTTTTTGAGACAGGGTTTCTCTCTGTAGCCCTGGCTGTCCTGGAACTCACTCTGTAGACCAGGCTGGCCTCGATCAGAAATCCACCTGCCTCTGCCTCGCAAGTGCTGGGATTAAAGGCCTGCACCACCACCGCCCGGCCTAATAGTCTGTTTCATTGTACAGAGTAGACTCAGATAAAGGGAAGCCAGCTCTGTACAGATGATCAACCCTGGGATGGACACAGTCCACAGCTGTACCTAGTGTTCCTGTTGGTCATGGGTGGCTGCCATGGAGCCAAGCACCTGCTGTGACGCTGACGCTTGTTTGTCCTTCTTGCAGCAGTCATGTGTCAACTGCGGCCGGGAGGCCATGAGTGAGTGTACCGGCTGCCACAAAGTTAACTACTGCTCTACGTTCTGCCAGCGCAAGGTAGCGTGCCTGCTCCCATCGCCTGCATCACCTCAGCCTTTCCCTGCTCTAGCATCCTGGATAGGTGCCTAGACTACTCCAAGCACCTGCGGGCCAGAGCGCTGGCTTCAGGGTCGAGGTCTGGGTACTGTTCAGAGCAGTGGCTGCTTGGGGCTGCCTGCTGGATCCTCTGCAGAAGGACAAATTCCCCTCAGAATGCTCAGCAGTCTCCTTCACACACACACACACACACACACACACCCCTTGCTGGGTCTGGGTTGTCCCTTCCCTTTTCTCCAGGCTCCCAGCTGGATCTGTGAGATGAAAGCACATGAATACCTATGTGCCTGTGGTAAGGCCTGCACTGGGCAAAGTTTACTGCTAAGGAAGGAGTCCATGTTCTGAGGGCCTCTCACCATGTCCTAGCCCAACAGGCCTCACAGAGCATTGCAAGAATGGTTGTCCAGTGTCATTGTCTATATTAATCATTGACTCTTAGAACTCCAAAGAGGGATTTCTCCTTTTTTTCTTTTCCTCTTATTTTTTAATTTTGTTTTGTTTGTTCTTTGAGTCAAGGTTTCTCTGCATAGCCCTGGCTGTCCTGGAATTTACTCTGTAGACCAGGCTGGCCTCAAACTCAGAGATCCACCTGCCTCTGCCTCCTGAGTGGTGGCATAAAAGGTATCCCTCATCATCACTACCTGGTCCTTTTTGTCTTTGAGACAGGGTCTCATATATTTCAGGCTCCTGTAGAACTCCAAATATAGTCAAGAATAACCTTAAATCGGGCAGGCACTCTGCCACCTGAGACACATCTCCAGTTCCCCAGTGCACACCCCTCCCCACTTTTTGAGACAGGGTTTTATGTAGCTCAGGCTGCCCTTGAACCTCCTGTTGGCTCCTTTTCTCTGGTGCTTGGATTTGAAGCTTGCTACCACCCCTAGCATTAAAGAGAGTTGTTTGAATGTCTAACCTTTCGATATTGTGACATGACATTGTCGTCTACGAAGTACACACTCAGGAACTACACAATCAAATAATCGGAGGGAAGGGGAACAAAACCAAAACTCTCATGATGTTTTAAGTAAGTTTATCATGTTGGGCTGCATCTGTACTGCCCTGGGGCTGTCAATTCAACACTTAGAACATCATGTACTTAGACATCTACCCTTCCCAAGAGCACTTTGGAACAGTTAGATACATCATAAAGATCACCCAAAATCTTTAGCCCATGGTTATCCTAGGAAGTGCCATGAAGCCAGGTCTGGGATGTGGCAGCCACTCTGGTCTCCCAATACTCTCCATGTCATCATTTCTGTTCCATGTGCCTTGGTTGCTTCTTTTTTGCCTAGTCCAAGTTTTAAAAGATATAGGAGCCTTAAGCATTCCTTTGTAGAGCTAGCTCAGTAGCCACCACAGGTTCAAGCTGTGTCTGCTGACAGAACCTCCCACAAGACCCTTGGCCTGGTGGCTTGCTGGAACCTGGCTGGCTAACAAGTGTGGATATGGAAAAACAGGCACGAAGGGCAGCTCATGAAGTGGGCATGTGCCCCCTAGCTTGAAGTCTATACGTACCTCAGAGCTTCACATGTCACAAGGAAAATGCAATGTTCCTCCCTAATGGAACCTGGCAGTCCTGTCTGCCCTAGTGAATACTCAGGAGCCATTGCCTCCAGAGTTTAGAGGGGTGGTGTGGCCTGCGTTCTCTGGACATCTCTAGAGCTGCACTTGTCTCCAAGGGGAACAAAATCAGAAGTTTTGTCTTCTCTTTTTTGGGGGGTGTTGGTTGTTTTTGAAGGGGGACAGGGTTTCTCTGTGTAGCATGGCTGTCCTGGAACTCACTTTGTAGATCAAGCTGGCCTCAAACTCACAGAGACTCACCTGTCTCTGCCTCCCGAGTACTAGGATTAAAGGCATGGGCTACCACACCTGGCTAGAAGTTTGTCTTCTGAACTCCACTAACAAACTTTTGCACTGAGAAATGTTCAGCCAAGTTGTTCTACTGGTACTTGAGGATGCCGGGACATGAGCAGGACCACTGGTGGTGAGATCATGGAGCACAAGTAACAGGATTCTCAGTCTCAGTGTGAAGCTTCCTGAAGTGTAGGCACAGGCTCAGTAGAGACCTTGTCACAGTGCAGACTTCTGTCTCACCCTTCACTTCCTGTTCTGGGAGTTTTGGTTCTAGGAATAATCTTGGTGAGATTCCATTTCTTGGAGCCACTATGCTAGGTCAGCCATCCTCTGATCCGCTCCATCAATAAAGACAAACACGCCAGCTTTCTCTTTTGTTTTGGTTTTGATTGAAGGGATAGTATTTCTCTGCATGGCCCTGGCTGTCCTGGAACTCCTTCTGTAGACCAGCCTGGCTTCAAAGTCAGAGATCCTCCTGCCTCTTCCTCCCAAATGCTGGGATTAAGTCACATGTTGTTTCTTCATTTGACTTGCTATATAATGAGTGTAGAGGACTGCAGAGATGGCTGAGTGGTTAAGAACACTGTTGTTCTTCAGAAGGCCTGGGTTCAGTTCCCAGCACCCACATGATGGCTCACAACCGTCCTAACTCCAGTATTAGGGGGTCTGATACCCTCTTCTACCCTCCATGAACACTAGGTACAAACATGGTACACAGACATTCATGCAGGCAAAACACCAATACACATAAGTAAAAATAATAAGTCTTTTTAAAAAAGTAAATGTCACTATCCAAAATTCTGATGTTGGCCTCAAAGGGAACAGTAGCTGGGCTCTGAAGGAGCAGAAGCCAGAGGCCACTTTAAACAAGTGTAGTTTGTAGTTTTCCTCATCTGTGTCAACTGGGCACCTGAAGAGGTAGCTC